TTGCGATCACGACTATTTGAAGAAAACAAAGCCCCCTAGCTTCAATACTGTGACGAATTTGGTCTCTTCAGAGAACCGCATCCCATTCTGTTGTGGACTGATTTACTACCCTGTAGATGCTAATCTAAAAAATAAGATTATGAGAAATATTGAATCATTTAGATAACTGTATTTATAACAGATATCACAATATGTTTCCTATTCGATTTATTACCGGTATTCCCAGAGATTGCTTGCTACTCAGAATCGTGGTTTGCCAACTTATTCGAAGACGCCAATTTCGTGCTATTCGTGAGTAACTCAAACGTTTCCGATTTTTAGGAGAAAACATAGTCTTGAAGTATGTATGGAATATAAGTAGGAGTTCAGAATGCTCCAATGATTTAACTGCGGCGTTTAATCCCTTGTTGCGCAGTTGAGCTGTTCACCGCATGTGTCCACTCTGAACAAAAATGTCAGGTTAGACAGAAGCAGTTTCTACAGGGCCCTTTCGACGTGAATAAGCCCAAGCTGAACAGATTGGCGTAGCTTGCGGCATATTATTAGGTAATAGCGTCACGTATGTGAAGTATGAAGGGCGGAAATGGTGTAGTGGTAATTGACGAACCACCACATAGGCTGCTTTCATAGTCCGCCGGCGTGCCAGCCGAGGTAGTGCTAGGGGGAAGGCAGACGACCGCGTCGACCTCGTCTGCCTCCCTCCTCCCCCCTAGCACTACCTCGGCTGGCACGCGGGCACGCCGGCGGACTATGAAAGCAGCCATATTCGTGGTCCAAGATTTAGAGACAGCCCAGACCAAACAGCTTTCCGTCTCCCTGGGGCCGGTCATTTGGTACCAGACTCGTTTGGGAGGATAACAGCACTGACTTGTACATTGGCTGGTCGCTGCTATTCACTGAATAGGCCACTAACGCATTCAAATCGCCACCAACATTCAGAATGGTACTCGAATGCAGGGGCGCACTCAAAGCAGAATTGGTTGATGCCAAGGGTTTGACTCTCTATTTTTTTTATCAGTTGTGCACTGAAGAAATTGAAAATGAAAAAGAATTAAAATGTTCTCCCAGAGCATTTCGATCATTCTGCTACAGTTTTCATTTTGTGGAACGCTTGTCGCCTTCATACATCGATTAAATGCTCTACAACCGTTACCAGGAAAACTGGAAAGTCTGCTTCTTAATAGTAATACGCATTACATAACAGCTGCTATTTATATATTTGGCAATATTCCAATCATTTTTGTCCTCATTTCTTCGTATAAACTACAAGAAGATATGAAAGCAGTTGTTGAGGTAAATTTGTACGGTTTTTTTATGCATTATTTATTTATTTATTTCTGCGCCAAATGACGCGCTATCACATACTGAGTGGGACGCATAAGCACCAAGTAAACGCAGGCCAAATCTCAAGTCAATAAATGGACAAGAGGATGGAATTCATATAGGCCAAATACCAAAAAAGAAAAAAGTCAAGAATTGAGAGAAGCTATGGATTATTTGGAATTTCCTACTACTGATTTTTGATTGGTCCTAATGTGAAAATTTAATATTTTAAATGAAAAATGACCATTTTCAGAGAAACCCCCATCTGCATTTCCTTAATGGTTATCGATCATACCTGGCTACTGATGAGGATGATCCTAAATTCGCTCAATTCCAAGTCATATGGTTAACTACTACTTTTATAGTAATATCTTTGTGTGGAGTTATAGCAGGCATCATTATGATTCACCTTTATAAAAAACGACAATTCATGAGCAGCCAAACTATGGAATTGCACCGCGATTTGATGATTCACTTGATTGTCCAAGTAGGTAACACTTTCGTTCCAGGAAAAAGAAAATGGGCTTGGACCGAATCGCATCTTTCAAAAGGAGTAGTATAGAAGTGAAACAAAAAATTCAAGTTCGCAGTCGGTGAAAGAAATCTGATTAATGAAGTTGTGAGTAAAAAATAGGGGCATAGGTGGTGGAGGTGCAAGTGGTCTGGAGTCGAACAAAGGATCGATACTCGCCCAGACCACTCATACCTCCAATCTCTAGCGGGGTTGTCAATTGGTATTAGACTCGTCTAGAATGATCAAAAGCGCTAAGTTGCGCATCTGCTTTCCATCGCAATTCACTGTAAAGGCCGCATAGGCATTCAGAACGTCATTACATTTCTAATAAAAGCCGAATGGTGCGCATCCCTCTAATCGGTTTGATTACCGTCAAAAGACTTTGTCCTACGTCTTTTCCTACGAAAATGAAGAAGTATTAAATGGAAGGGATACAAAATGAAGCGATCGTGGCTTATTTCGGGCTCTCTGCAAAGCTCAGCATATTCAGTAAATTCAATCAAAATCTGCCAATTCGAAATATACAGGGGTGCCCAAAAAAAAGAGACGCTCTCACTGCTCGGCTTGTACCACCAATGTAATCGAACTTTATTAAACTCTGACTGGATATTACCACCCGCAAAATCAAGAACACATTGTACTCGATCACGGAATTCTTCAATGGCCTTCCGCACGGACGAAATCGAAAGTTTTTACCACGCAAAATTGATGTCGTCTGAGGTGGTGAGATCGGCTCGTCTCCCACGACGTCGCAAACCATTGCGGAGTTGTCGGGGCTACAGGA